TTTGATATGCACATTTTCCTTTAATATTGCTAATTGATAATAAAATTACTAGGATTTGTGTCTCGGAGTATATGCGTACAAGCCGAGTGGACCCCGCAAACGGGAATCATTACGCAGGTTGAGGCCAAATGCACACCACCGCGCTTCGCTCGACAGGAATTTATACACTGTCTAGTCTATCTAACAGATAAATGCTGGCAATAGGGCACTTACCCCGTTCGCCTGTTGAGCCTGCCGTATGCTTGTTTTCCTACTACTTTTGTTAGCCCGGGGCCGAAGAGATCTTCGCACGTAATACAATCAACACCTGTTTATCTGGTTAAACCGTGCCGCCATTTTCACCGTATTACACGTACCTAATTGTTATTACACACTCTCTTCCCGTTCGTCCATCGTTGCTGTGTTGACCGAACGGGGCTACTCCTGCCAGAATGCACGCCGCTCTTCTGGTCCGTCACACATTCCCGCTCGTCCTTCCTTGCATATTCTACTGGCAACGCGTCCGTCACCGTCCTTCACTTACTCTTCGTTGTTACCGTTACTTGATTTGCGTTGGACGCCGCAATTTATTAACTGCCTAGCTCCAGACCTCGTCCAGACCCGGCAAGGCCTTCTAGTCTTGCTTTGCCACACCTAGATTCACCACCATCTTTGATTTCTTGTCGCTGAGTGGTTGTTCTAAGTCGTGAACACGCATTATGCTCATTCTTACCCGTCACGCATCGTCTGGCAACGGTCAAGTAACCCTCTGGTCTGTGGGCCGTACTAATACGACCGCACGGCCGCCTCCTGCTACAACGTGCCCACCCTATCCGTCTACCCGCTCGGCTTCACCACGTCGTTCTGTCCAGGTGCTCCATAAGTGCACGGATTCCACACACGCCATCTCCCAATCTAAGGTTTTCCATGACCCTGTCGGCTTACCCAAATTCGTCATACTCGGAGGCCGGATGCCCTCCGTGCTACATCGTCTGTTTTACGTCCAACTCACAGCGGTTTCCTTGGACGCAGCTCCTACTCGGAGATATTGTACAATGCGTTCCACCATTTCCGTCGTCCTAGTCTCACCAACTACTCACTCGTGCCTCTCCTCGCATCATAGCCCGCCACGGATCGGCTCGTTCGTACGCCAGACTCAGCCGCTGTTGCCGCCTGGACACGAGTCATCGCTGTTCGAGAGTCTTTGTTTGCCTACTCGGTATAACGCCGCTGCTTAGACTTCACCTTCATATTCCAGTTGATCTCTAACGTCGGGCGCCCCTTTCTCCTGATAGTCTACGGGTTGCTAGTAGCTAGCCAAATAAACAAGCGTTGGGCAGAAACCCTTTGGATCTCAATCTCTGTCTTTGCGTGTCACCATAAAATCCGCATAACTCTCTGGCTGGACGATTCTCATTGCGCCGGTCCAGATTTGCACGAATTTGGAACCTTTCCGACCGCGAGACTGTCGAAACAATCACAAACTGTTTCTTGTGCTGAACGATCGTTTTGCTCTCACTCATAGATTGCATTAACACGCTTACCTTTCTTGTTCACGCGCTTAACCCCTCTCTTCACACGTGAGCACTCCGTATCCCCATTAATAGCTTCTTGTGGTACGTCGTTAGCTCGCCAGCCTCGCTGACTCTCATCTCATACGAAAGCTCGCACAGTGATCTCAATATTCTACCGATCACCAGCTCAATGGACGAGTATGCCCCCGACGCAGGCTTGCCCGGGTTGTTTACGTATACAGCGAAGTCAGCCCACGTACCCCCAATCGTTCTGCTCATTGCTGTACATGTACGTTGCCATGCAATCAGTCCATGTACGGTGGACTATTTTAACTAAGCCAATCCTCTGTGGACGTTAAGGAACCTGATTAATCTGTTCTGCCTGTAGCATCTGCAACAAATTTTTGGTAGCACCTCCGTAAGCGCAGAAGCGCCATCTGTAAGGAGCTCGCGGAACGCACTAAATCGCGACACTACGCTTCTTACCAGGAACTCCGCCATGTTGTCCGCCGTAAGCTTCTCGACCACCGCGGCCATCGCGTTTCTCGTGACATATTAAACAGCTGTGATGTTTAAATGTTGTCCACCTATAGTGGTTGGTAATGGACCAGCCACCGCCAAGACCCTCCACCGCCAACGTCGCCACGTCTTATAGCTCTGAGTGGTGGCACTACTCACGTGGTCTCGCTTCCCTGCCGGAGCACTCCCTGACAACCGT